AACTCAGTGGATGAAAACATTATAATGCCTAGCAATATTTCCCTACATTTTCATGATATCTTAGAAACTGTTTCTGAATTTAATGGCACTTATACGTATCCAGTTGAATCCTTCATTATTGATTTAGAAGAATCTTTTAAATTATTTAAGTTATCGGAATTACAGAAAATTGTGTTTGCTAAAAAATTGCTTACTGGTTCTGCTAAAGTATTTATTAGGTCTTTGAAGCGTATAATATCATGGGACAAATTAAAAGAAAATCTTTTATCTGAATTTGGTTCTAAAATAAACAGTGCACAACTTCATAATTTGTTACAGAAACGACACTTAAAACCTGGTGAATCACTTTCCGAATATTTAATTGCCATGCGTGAAATAGCCAGTCGCGGTTCTGTTGATGATTCATCAATTCTTGATTATGTAATCAATGGGATACCAGACCAGAGTAGTAACAAAATTGTTTTGTACGGTTGTAAACTATTTCTGAATTCAAAGAGAAATTAAAAATTTATGAGAAAATTCGCGTTCCAGATACGAAGAATAAGGGTTATTCAAGTAATAACACAAAATAAAGCACCTCTATACCTAATAAGAGTAAAGAACAGAGGTGTTATAATTGTGGAAGTTAAGTCATAAATCTAATTTTTGTAACAATAAGAGTAAAGGATTTAAGTGTTTTAAATGCGATTTGTTTGGACACAAAGCCGTAGATTGTTCGAAAACATCATCTAAAAATATCCAAGATGCCAAAGCTGTTACTCCAATAACTCAGACTTGTCAGAAAGAAATGCATAAAACTGTTAATTTGGGTAATTTGCAGATTGATGCTTTAATAGATACTGGTAGTCAAGTAACGCTAATCCGAGAAGATATACATAAGATAGGTTCTTCTGAACTTAAGTCGGCAGATCTACAGTTAACGGGATTTGGTAATGGGAAAACTAAGCCTATAGAGAGATTTGAAGGTGAATTCCAAATTGATGGTTCTTCATTTAGATCAAATATTTGTTTTATCGCAGAAAACAAGAAATTCTGAATCTGAATGATTCTGAAGAGCAAAAAAAATGCTTATTGCAATGGAAATGTTTCTGAAGAAGGATTTGAAAAAGTTGTTAATTATGGTTTTTTACTTCCAAAACAAAAAACTTATCCTGTTAGTATAGTTCCTGTTATAGTACAGAATGTGATCAAACTGGATACCTCATCCACAATCAAAGCAAGTGGCAATGATTTCCTGATTGTGAATTCTGACGACGTCCCGAGTGATGCAGATTCTGATATAAGTGAAAATGATGTTATTAAAGATGAATTTGAATTAGTGCAAAAAGGAAACTCAAGCACAATACAATTAGCTTCGAAGCCAACGAGGAGAAACGACACTGCAGAAGGAGATTCTGAAGAGAATCATTTTTCCGAAGAAGAGTCAGTTGCTAAAGATGATGAATCAAATGTGAATTCTACTAGAACAATTTCAGTAAAATACCTTGCAATAGAGAAGCAAAAGAAGCCACTGGAACCTGATCACAACGACGCTGATACGGAAAGCAAAGACAGAACATAAGAAGGTGAGCAAAAAGAAGCGAAAAAGCAGATTCAGAAGATCCAGAAAGAAAATTGAAAATCTTTGATAATGAAATACCGATTTTGATGATTCCTGATTTAGACGTTTTTCCCGACTAGACAAGCTTATCCCGATTTGACTAATGGACTATTATTTTAAAGACGTGAACTAATTAAAGAAGACTGAAGATGATGTCTAAGGATGAAATGTATGAAGGAAGACGGCTTAAAGAAGATGATTTTGAGAAGACGCATTCGAATGACGGATCTTGAAGATATCTACGACGCATTCAGAAGACGTATTCAGACGATGTTTGAGAAGACGTAAATACGAAGACGAATCCGGAGGAATTGTTCCAGACAACATCAAAGGAAGACGTGTTTGTGAAATGTATGTATTCAGATAGACTGTTAAAGATGAACGAACACTGAAAGAGCATTGAAGAAGAGATAAAGCCGTTATTTCTGTAGATGTTAAGATAATGAGAAAAAGATGGTTGAAAAAAACCTTTTAGGACGACTTTTCCCTCAATAGTAACTAAATTTTTTTTTTTTTTTAAATTTTATTTTTCAGATCCCTAGATGTAGATGGTGGTGTTACGAGAATGCGAGGCCGCATTCCATCAGGATGGACGAGCATTTGTGGGATGGCATCGTTCATTATAATCGGATGACGCGACAAGCTATGAGAATAAATCTTTTACTTTTCCGATGATAGAATTCAGACGATTCCGCCATTAAGACGATGACGCAATTAAAAGATGTTTGAATGTAAAGATGATTCCTTCTCTTCATCTGTAAATAATCTCACCTATTTCCTTCTACGTATGTAATTACTTTGTAGTTAGTTGCAACTATTCATGTTTCATTAAATATTCAAGTTATTTGTAAATCGGACTAGTTTATTAGCCTCTAGACAGCCACCTAAGGAGTAAGTTTACAAACATCATATTATTAGACAGTAAATACCGATTCTACATTAGTATAATGGAGAACAGCGATATAGCGTTAGTATTATATTGTTTTTAGTAAGTTCACTTTATTACAATATTAATAAACAGTGCCATTTTATAATTTTTAATAATCATATGCCACATGAGTTAGCAATTTGCGAATCTTTTGCGGAAGATTTATGAGAGAAAGCGGAGAAGTATTGTTTTCTAATGCGTTGGGATTTCTTTGTGACATTCCTAATATTAAAACATAAACGCATTTCAGATTTAATTTTCATTTTTATATGTTAATAACTGTATAAGGTATTTCTCCTGCTTTCTTATCGAGACCTCGTGGTATAATGGTCAGCACACTCAGCGCGTAATTGAGAGAGGTTCACGGTTCGATTCCAGGCGAAGACGTTGCTAATTTTTCATCTTTTCTGCTTCCAAAAAAAATACCTAATATCTTTACAACTGCAAACTTAATTAACGATTATAAGCATATAAATAAGTAATAAAATAATAAATAAATAAATTATAAAATGACTTCAATTTACAAATTTCGGATTAGATATTTTAAAAGATGAGTTTATTATTAAAATTTTAAAAAATTAAAATATATCTAAAAACAGTTACAGAAATAAAACAAAAATATTAGAAAAATTAAATCTGAGCCATTTCGGTAAACCATTTCGGTTCGAGTTTAATAACTGAAACAATTTTAAGCCACACATGTAAGATAGGCCTATCAGCTTAAAAATTAATTCTCAGAATTTCTTAAAAAAATGCAAAATCATATATTTAAAACTAATTTATAAAAACAGCAATGTGAGACAACTGCAGAAAAACTTGCCGTGATATTATTCCATCCCAAATTAAAACCATTTAAAAAGTTTGCATTTATTTAATAAAAAAACAAAGATTTAATTACTAAAGCCAAAACTGCCCATGGATTTTTTTCCGATCACTTGGATACCAGTATTGCAGAAAACACTTTTCGAAAGCAAAATGGGAACAATTTATATTTTCCAGGGCAAGAAACTTTTGTAGCGAAAACAGTTCCTCAGCTCAAAATAAAATACGATAAAACTCTTAGTTTTAATGAAACTTTCAGTAATCGATATATGAAGTAATTCAGATTTTTAATATGACATCATCAAAATCAAATCATCATCAACATCAAAATCAAACCTTATTGCCTTACCGAAGTATTTAGAAGTATCGATCATGACAGTACAAACACAACGATTTGGCTATTTTCAAATTAAATTCACACTTTCACGTCAAATTAATTTTGCATTTGCTATTACCCATTAGTAATTTAATTAGCGAACCATCCTTGCTATTCTTGGATGCGAGCTACCAAAGGATCTCAAATAAAATTAATAACCAATCACTGGCTCGAAATGAAATGAATAATCGGTTTTAAATACCAGTAATTGGACTGTTTAATAAAGGAAAGTGGCAACAAACGATGACTATCGAATTGATTAAAATGGCTCTAATGCTGTACTCTGTTAGAAGTTTCTTTTCGCAAATGAGAGGCTTAAAGCGTGTCATTAACTGCGGAAAAGTGAAGATTACGTTTGAAGCAGATCGCAGAAGTGGCAATTATATAATCAAAAGGTTCATTATTTGTGAAATTTCACTTCTTTAAAGCCCTTCGTTACGAGGCAATTCTTATTTAATGGCGAGATGAGATCAGTGTATAATTACTTCTACTTAAACAATCTGCTCTAAAATCTAAGTGCTTTTAAAATATTAGCTGCTAGATTTGTACCAAAAGAACAACTTCGGAAATCGCCTTAAGAACATTAATCAGTAACAGAAACACAATGAAAATGAAAAATTCAGTATTTCGAAATTTAGCGCTTAAGAAATCGATACATTTTGATCATTTTTATCTCTCAAATTTATCAGAAACATTATTGCAGAAATAAAATTTTAGAAAAAAATGTAGTAAAAAAAGAATATAATATGTAGACATAAGTCGTAGAGCTTAATAAAGATACAGAGAAGAAAAATAATAAGATAGCGAATAATACAATTTTTATTATTCATACACAGATAAATTAATTAAATATAAATAACTCTAACGGTGAACACTATAATACAACAAAGACTAAAATTTTGGAAAGAATATTAAAATAAGCCTTAGACTCGAGATATTTTTACCATTACAGTCAAACTTGCCTAATCTACAATGCAAAATTGATATGTCAATAAAGAAAATACATGCTTCTGGATTAAATATTCATATTGTAAATTTTATGAGAAATCCCATAACGGTTCTTTTGACTATCTTAATAAATTACACATTCTGTTCATTATCACAATGAATTACAGGTTCCATTGACTATCATTATCATAATGAATTACACATTCTAGTGGTTATGCCGATGAATAAACATTTTGCACATGAGAGTGTGTATCAAAATTTACATTAACTGAAAAATATTTTGATTATTTACCGCCATGCAAACATTTCTAAAGTTTCGTATTTACCTTCAGCTTGAGCCCAGTCTGCCAGACATGTAATTCTAGATTGAAAGCTACTTTGACATTTGTCGTACCTTCCGCTATCATCTAAGCCTACAGTCTCAAAGCGACCTTTGACACCACATAGCAGGGCTGTAGCACAGGCACCTGAGTCTCCTACTTGGCTGTCGGTATTATATGTCTAACAGAAAAGAAACATTACGTTATAAAATCATAATGAAGTAAATACATGTTTGACATAAAATGTAATGATGAGAAATGCTTATCTCGTCCGACGATCCGAAATAATACCAAATTAAGCATCTTTATATATAAATAAGCATGCCAACAGGATTGTGAGTACGATGAAATAAAGGGAAAAAACCGAAAGAAAAAAGAGAAGCAAAATAATAATAAAAATATCTAAAAGCTTTCAGATTTTAAATTAATCCCAAAGAAGCGTTTTTTAACATTTCGTGTGTTACCCTTCTTTATTAAATATCAGGTTCTTCGCCTTTAAACCACATAAAATTCAAATTCAAGAGCAATATAACGAAATATTTATAAACATCATATCTTCAGAACTTCCGATGGACAGTCTGGCCTGGTAGAGACAAAAATGTTTTTTTTCCGTACAGTGTTGTGATTACTCGCCTCGAAATTGTTGAGTTTGTTAATCAAAAATTTGTTAAAGTTTTACAAAATATAAAATAGATAATGAAACAAACTCAAAATTCAAAATTCGGGCTTCCACTTGCCCATGTTCGAGTGGAGGATTATGTTATTCAGAATTTGATGGCTTCTACGTATCGCCGTTTCTTCACAATGCATACATTCATGATTCTTCATTATTTAATTTCTTACAATATAATACAGGTGATAATATTTGGTGGCAACAATTTAAAAAGGGATTCGCCGTTTATGCTGAAACGCCATAAAATGCAATTTTGAGAACAGTACCTCTTCTGGGCTACTGCTCCTTTGGGCTTAAAAAATGTGGCAAAGTAATTAAAAATTTTCATCCTCATTACTCAAAAATGTTTCAGAGTATTACTGAATAATGATTTTATTTTCTTTACATTTTTCTTCTTGCTTAATAATTAGTAAATGCCTTGCCTGTTTGTTGACGCAGTTTCAAGAGGAAATATAACAGAGTTTGTCACCGACTGCTGCAGCGGACAGATTAAATCGGTATTTTTAAATTAATGCATCTTTTATTAAAAATCATCATTATTCTAAAGTAGAATTTTATCTATTTTAAAACTGGCATGTTTAGCTTTCATGTATTATTTCACTGTATTATTTCACATTTGGTGTATTTCTAACAAATGATTTGCAAAAGATAATTTATTGTTAACGAATTGCTAATAAATATACACTTCTGATTTACCATAGAAATTTCAAATACATTAACTATACGTGAAGTTATTCATTATTTATTAATTTTTAATTATTGCAAAATATAAAAAATAAGTGTCAGAAGCAAAATAACCTTATAAAAAATAAAAGTAACAATTTATTTTCTGATATATGCTACAGGTGAGCAAGATAATATACATTATACTAATAAAATGTACAGTAAACGCACAAATACGTATTTGTTTTAAATGAAATTTTATGGATTATTATAGAAATGATAATTTTTTATAACTAACTTGATTAATAAATTAATCTAGTGCATTAAAATTATTGAATATTAACTAATCTACTATACAAAATTAAACTGCAAACAGGAAAACATAAATCTAGAGCGTGGGCGGATTTTCCCAACTTCTTTTTTCTTAGATGTTTCTGTCTGGCAGACGTTCTCGGAATTTACTTTGACATATTCAAAAGAATAATTGAAGCATAAATGCCGTAGCTTGTTCCAACATAAATCATGGAACCTCTCATTTTTAATTGTGTGCATAAATTATGTTAGCCTTGATGCCTTTAAAAATCTGAACTCCATTTTTCACATCCCATTAGGTAATGTTACCATAACACAGCACCTCCCACGCATTTTTACCTAACTATATTTGTCATTCAACTGGCTTGCCAAAGTTCTGCAAAGCTCTAGTTGTTCGACGTAACGTAAGTTTCCTAATTTATTTTAAAATATAACACTATACTATTTATAGAAAATTGAATATCGTAGAAACAGTATGCATGTTTTATAATCATATTATTAACGTTTAAACACGAATGTAATTAATAAAAGTATTTATATCTTCATGCATTTAGTTTGCTTCATATATTCAATAACAAACTTCATATTTTATTATTTTCTTCTATTTCGATTCGTTGCAGAGATAATTTGGTGATTAGCATGACTATTTGCTACATCACACTAAATTCCCCTCTAGTAATCTTAATTCTTTTATCTCTAATAAATTTAAATATACACAACTTATTCTAATGTGTACCTACAGTTTACTACAGAAAAAACAAAGTGCTCGATCTGTGTTTCTTCAATACGGAATAAAGGAAGCATGTATGGACTGCCCTTTGGATTCTATACATAATACTTTTTGAAACAAAATATTTTAGTAATCAAATTAGTAATTAAAATAAAAAAGTAATAAATAATTATAAAAATAGTTAATTTACGTAATTTTTACAAATATTCTTCATAGAGATTATTCGCGAACAAACCTTTAAACAAGTAAACATATGTGCACTATAATTATACTGTTAAGTTTGTATGCAGTTTGACGAGAAAGAACAGTTTATGTCCTAATTATTTCATACCTTAGAAAGGGCGACGTATTCAAATTTATCAAAAGCAAGTTCACTCTCTTCTCCTGTCTGACCCTTCTTCTGTCCTCTTAGAATGCGTGATGTGGTCACAGTGGTGATGCCCATTCCATCGCCGATGAAGAGAATCAGATTTTTTGCCACGTTATAATTACGATCATCGTCAAGATTCTTCACCAGCTGAGACTTCGCTTGCTGGTACCAGAACCAACGATCTAAGAAAACAAATTAAAAAGGTTTTAGAAATGTATAACTGCTAAGTTTGCTATTAATGAAATTGGAATAAACACATCTTGAAATAATAATACGAGGACCATAACTAAAGTATTGCAATGGTCGACCTAACGTTTTTTATTATCTGACTTAGGTCATCTATGTCCGTATGACTTAGATTATCTATGTTCGTGTATATAAGTCGACACATACTGCTGGAGTATCTTTTCTTCTGTGCACATGAGTAATAATCCTTTTCTCACTACCACTTAATAATGGAAACGAACTACAAACAATCTGCCAGTTTTGAATTCGTAACAAAAGCTGAGTGCAGTCTATTTACAACCGCAGTTATAAAATACTTATGGAAACTTATGGAAAAGAGATCCTAGTACAGCTCCACTGAATGAACTATTGATAACAGCAATATGTGCAGATAGCTGTAGAAATCTGAAGTCGGTAAAATAAGGCAAAACACACGGTAGAAATCTATTAAATAACTGAATATGAATGACTAGCTAAGCCTTATTAACAGTTCTAACATAGATTTTATTGTTGAAATCATGTCTTCAGTGACAGCTTTTCTATACTGAGTCGGAAAATGACCATGAGACAAAGTAAAATCTTTGTGTTGTGTGTGTGGGAGGGGGAGTGAAACACTGGCCTGAAAAAGAATTGTTAGAAAGTAAGAGAAGGACAATTACGTTCGGATGCCTGAATACGCTCACTTCCAAAAGTTAAGCACGGAGAGGAAAATGCTAATTTTCCGGAAGGTAATCAGAATTGAAGAGGATACAACTCGCTGCAGAGGTAGATGGAAGTATGCAGATATGTTAGGTAACAGCCAATCGCGCTTTCATGTCAAGAAATATGCAAAAAAGGCAGTCTTATAAGAAGCCAGCTTTGTGAAGGGAAGTTGATTGTAAGTGATGATAGAAGATGTTTAAAATTTTCGTACAATTTGTTTTCAAGACATACATGTTTCTATGACTTCCAGAAGACGAGTGGAAGATTCTGAGAGCTGGCGTGCTGTGGGGCATACGCTCCACAGCACGCCACTCTGGAGCCAGATGAAGCAGGGCAGTGGAACACACATGTTGCTCTTTTCTTCGACGTTCATCATTCTGTAATTCCACGTTTATGGAAACAATTCCAAACCACACAGACAGTTATCCGATGTCCCGTAGCCGGTCGCCCAAGAGTTTCAACCCCCGCAGAAGATCGATATATTGCTGTTGTAGCCAAGCGGAATCGCAGAGTGACCTCCACACGTGTGACATCTATGGCTACAGCGTCCATTGGTAAGGCGATATCTGCAGCTACTGTAAGCTGAAGATTACATATGAGTGGAATGTACGCCCGGGTACCTCGAGTTTGTGTTTCTCTATCCGTCCAATCAAGAGGGGCACGATTACAATTGTGCCGGGAACATGTCAATTGGAATGTGTCTGATTGGGGCAATGTCATGTTTAATGATGAGTCAAGATTTACTCTGGAGCCAGATGACAAGCGTATAAGGATATGGCGTGAACAACGAACACGCAAGCAGTCCCAAAACATCACCGAACGTCACGCATTCCGAGGCGGAAGCATTATGGTGTGGGCAGGGATTTCATTAGGATACCGCACCGACCTGCACATCTTTTATACGGGGTTCTTTGACGACTGTCCGGTATCGAGATGAACTCCTAGAACCCATTGTGAGATTGTATGTTGCAGCAGTTGGCCCTACTTTTGTTTTAATGGACGATAACGCACGTCCCCATAGAGCTGACATCGTCGATGACTACCTGGAGAGTGAAGGGATTGCGCGTCGATACTACCTGGAGAGTGAAGGGATTGCGCGTATGGCGTGGCAGCATATTCGCCCGACCTTAATCCCATTGAAAATCTTTGGGATGCTCTCGGCCGTGCATCTTCACGTTTCCCACCTCCAGCCACTCTTATTGAGCTGGAAACTGCTCTACAAGGAGAACGGCGATTTCTTAATTCTGCGGTGGTTGACCACCTAATTGAAAGCATGGTCACAAGGTGTAAACTTTGTATACAGATGAGGGGGGATCACTTACCCTATTAATGTCCTTTTTTTCCTTCTGTACTATTTATTTTCACTTTATACATAATTCTGTTTAAGTCTCCAATATACCATTATCTGATAACTTAAAAAATTTAATGTTCTTTTCATTTCTGTATATAATTATTGATTTTGTTTTATGCAGAAATATATATGCTATTTTCCTGCCGAATTTTGTGTCATTTAAAGCAGTATTTGTTGACATTTTTGCATTTTGCATTTTACATCTTCGTGCTTAACTTTTGGAAGTGAGTGTATAAAAAGCTTTATGTTAACACTGAGCTTCTACAATACTAATATAACTGAACATGATATATTTGCAACCAATATGTATAAAATTGAATAAGGTACATTAATAAGTTAAGTATACATGTAATATGTAGTAAGAATATAAGTATGAATTCAGGCTTGGCAACGGATACGAGTATAAAAGAAAATGCATTATACAACATAAAAACATAGTGCTGTAATATTATTATATGATCAACCTAGAATAAATGATTTTGTATCATAAATGAAATGGGTGACAAAATATTGTGCTAAGAGCGATGCAGTTGATAAAAGTGACAAGGTGGTATACTGACTAGCCTTGCAGTCTATTGAAGATCAAAATGTTAATTTTGCGCAGCTCTGAATACATCTAATTGCAAATTTGTTATTGCCCTATGCATGGCAGATTTTAGAAGACAGCTTGCGTTGATAGATGCTTTTCATTTCCGAGCAATCAAATGCATTTTCGTCGGAATTATCGATTCCTCCAGATATGTTCAACTAAATCGCAAAGTCACCACCGATAATGGATTACAAACAACTTCACTTCAGCAACCAATACGCTTCATCCAAGAGTCAACAGTCACCTGCAGCTCAGTAAAAATGTCAGTTGTAGTTAATAAATTGCATTATTTAACCATACTCACATAACTGAAGTTTTCATAAACCTCTAGACCGGATGAATTTCTGTGACAGAAGGAAACAAAAAACATAGAGAGAAAAGAAATAAAAAAGAATGGTGAGCTACTTAAACGTACGGGTTTAAGAAAATTGAAATAATTTTTAGCATTTCGATATGTCACAGTGGGAATAAGTAATTCTACGTTGACTACGGCAGATAGCTAACTTGCTTCTACTTTTAATGGAATAAAAATGTATGTTATACAGTATTGTCCTTCAGAAAGTTTTCTTTTGGAACTTGTAGTAATACTTACAAGTACCGAGGAAACTTTTGCTTGCCTTGGTTGAGCATAAACCTAATTATGTATGAATATATTAAAAACAGAGTGAAACCTCTCATGGTGACGATCTGTTGTACATAACCCCAACTGAAAATGACAAACAATTTCCCAGTGTTTCTAAAAACATAAATAAACATCGCTATCTATCTATCACAACTGATAACCACGCTCTTTTAAGGCGAGTACCACCACAGAAGACTAAAATTGTCTGCAATCCTGTTTGATTGTTTTAGAGAGATTTGGTTGCATTATCTTTAAATAAGCATACAATGACTCATATCTGTTACCAAACGATCAAGAGTTATTCCGTATACACCCAAAATCTATTATAAAAGCATTGCAAAATAGAGAATTCTTCGCTTGAAAAGAAATTAAACTGTAAGAAATTATGATATTCCTCTGTATGTCGTTTCGTGGTGGAAGTGACTAGTATTTCCATCTAGCGACTGGAAGATGTGTGGCTCAAAGCTGGCAATGGCACAGTTGAATTTCTACGTTTCCTATTTTGAAAGCATTTTAAACAGTCTTTGCAATGATGGCCGAATTAAAATGTGTCGTCAGCACTTGGATTTAATCGACTGGGTCTCATGCTTCTTTCCATCTCTTTACGTGGGGGAGACTGTAAGGAATTACCACATTCCACCATGCGCATTCTCTGATTCCAAGTACTCAGCTAGCACTCCAGAAGTTACACGTTTGAATACGGACTAGGGCCGGTTAATTTTTCATGTTCCCAGCTCCAAAAAACCCTACATAGTCTCTAAAGTTTCGCCCGAGATATACTCTATTACTTTAAAATAGGTACTTAGAGGTTCTGTATTCCCTCCCTTCATTTATGACTGTAATGTGTGTCATCATTACCGCTCAAAGAAGATTATAGAACCGAAGCAAATTAGATGACTCGACTATCTTCCGTGGTAGTCGTTACCATGGTTAGCACGTAAGCCAGAAAAGGAAGATGATATTGAAGCACCTAGTCTAAAGTGGAAGCTATAAAATGCGGTAGAGGATAATTCAACAGCAGTTAGATATAGTCGACAAATCTAGATATAGTCCTAGTCGTCTACTAAGATATAGTCCTAATGTTAGATATAGTTCTAGTCGTCTACTAAGCGAGGGGAAATGTAAAGAACTATCGCATTTCTCTATATGTACTCTCGTGGTTTAAGTAATTAACATATCCCGTTAGCATGTGGAAGATCCATGGCTCGGATCTTGATGAGGGCCCAACCGATTTCTCCCGTTTGCTTGCTACGAGAAAATTGAAAAGAAATGTTTTACAAAGGCATCCGAACTAAAATGTGGTGAAGAATGACTGGACATCCTCTGAATTTGGTGACTGGGTCTTTTATTTCTACTACTGCATCATCTGTTAGGTGAGAAGAAAATAAAAGAATTTCTCCGTTTCTACGTGTTTTCGTGATATAAGTGGTTGTATTTTTTTATTTATTACATGCTCTTACTACCGGGAAAGGGAATGGTGCCTCGTTGAGGATGTTTTAACAGAAACTTGCTCGTATATTCGTTGCACATGAGGAAAATCACGAAAACACTCATGCGACCAGCCGTCAGCGACTTTACCGTTCGGCTGCTGGTGAGCCGTACATCCAATTTGCCTTTCCGTAATGCAAACTTCGGCGAAGGTATGGGAATTTCTTCCGTTTCACGCTTCGAAAAAACTTAATAGTTTTTTAGA